TGCATAAACCAGTTTAAGTAATCAGAAACTGGTATAAACCTGTAACAGAACAGAAGCTCAGTGCACATAAACCAGTTTCAAAATGGCTGAAACTGGTTTAAGATAAACCTGGTTAAATCTAGTATCAGACTTAACTGATTTGGGTCAAACCGGTTTATGAAACTTTTGTTCCAGACCCCTTCCTAGTTTAAGTTAAACCAGAGTCTCCCAGCATCCCTTCCAGCCCTGGGCTGTGCTGTGCTGTCTGCTGTAGCAGAGAAGGGTTGTGGGGGGCAGGGGGAAGGAGGCAGGGCCTACCCCCCACCCCCTCCCAGGCAAACCCCGGCTGAGGTCTGGGGCCAGGAAGGGTGGGGAGTTAAACTTCCTCTCCCCCGACTACATAGCTGCCCTGCCCTGCTAAAAACTTATTGCTGGCTGTGACTGTGGACTACAAATCCCAAAGGCACCTGGAAGCAGGAAGAGGACGTGATGAGCAACCCTGCAGAGGCCTGCTAATGTGATTCTCCACTGCAAATCCCAGAGACCTCAGGGGCAGCAGGAAGAGGAAGCAAACACAGCCCATGTTGGCTAGGAGCCAGAGAGCTGTGCTCTAGTGCTCCCTGGCTTCTGGCCTAAGCCACTGCAGGCATGTGACTGCATTTCCTGAATCAAAAGTAAGCGTGTATCTAGTTTCTCAGTTTAATCTCTGCAGCTTAGACAAATTTGCAAACAGAACTGGTTCAGCCTCAGGCTTTCTTACTGTCTGTACTTAGCTTAGAGAGCTGGTGAGCAGCGGCCTGACTAGGGGCTACAGCTGTGAGTTGCCACACAGAGGGCTGTGAGCCAGGATAGACTTCTATCCCTGGTGTAGGTGGGGATCATTTGAAGAGTTGCATTGCTGGGGGTAGGAGCATCAGGCTGGAAGGGGGAGAATTTAATGAGGGGACTTGGTAGTGAAGTGGGAGGTCGAGAGGCAATAAGTGGGAATGGCGGCTGGGGGCTGAATGGTAAAATGAAGTCCATCAGCCACTGAAGCCACTAAAGGGTAAAATAAATGTTTTTAAGAAATAAAATGTAAATTAAAGAAAGCCTCATGTTTTAATAAACTGAGATGGGGATTGGGTAGTCCCAGCTCACAGGTACACTGTCCCTGCTCCTGCCAGGAAGGCCCAGCTTATGGGGACCCTGATATGTCTTCCCTACCTTGCTCTCCCCCTGGCTCCTCCATAGCTCTGCCTTCCGAACTGGTCTGTGCTCCTTTCCAGCTGCCTAGCCAGGTCACATACCCAGAGGCAGGAGGAAGAGCTGGTTTCGTCCAGTACCATCTCATGGGCAGTGGAATTCAGGTGGTAGAAAGTTTGTCTACAGAGAACAAAAGGATGGGGAGAGGGGATACTGTACCCTGGAATGCTGGATGACTAAGACTTGGGCAGCTTATTTATGGGGACTGCCCACACATTCATGGAACTTGGGCTAGGTTACATGGTTCAGAGATTAAGGGTGCACCGATAAAGATTGTTTTGGCCGATACTGATGGCCGATTATTAAGCAGACATATTGGCTGATACTGATCTGATAGATGAGTGCTGACTGAGCTGCAGCCCGGCAGCTTGGACAGCAGTGTCTGGCCAGTAAGTCTGTGGAGGAGAAGGGGTGCGTGTGTGTGTATGGGGGGAAGATCAAGGCCCCCATGGTGAAGGAGGGATTGGGGCTGGGGCAGGCACTGTCCAGATGGGCCAGGAAGGAGTGCAGGACGGAGCTGTGGGCAGCTTGTCCAGGGTGTGCAGAAGGGCAGTTCCTGTCGCTGCATGCACCCCCAAGGAAGGCCAGGGGGCCATGTGCCCCCTGGATTTGTGTGTGGGGAGAGGGTGAGCTGCCTACTGCGGGCTTGGGGCCAGGGGCAGCACCAGCTTCTTCTCAGTGGGGGGGCTAGGCTGGGCTGCGCTCAGGGTGGGCAGGGGTGGTGCAGGGCAGGTAGCAGCGGTGCTGGGAGGGGTAGTTGTGGGGTGGGCTACAGCCACCTCAAAATTCACCATAGTCCCCCCCGTAGCCACTCTCACTGCCCCCCC